TCACTTCACTTCACTTCACTTCACTCACTTCACTCACTCTCACATCCCTCACTCATGTGGGGTTATCCGGTCCTTTAATTTCAAGTCTTACATGCGGTTTGTTTATCTCTTCCTTTTTTCCGTCATCATGATCGGTGTTGGGGTCCATAAACCAACCCTTGGAACCGTGACCATGGTTCCGCCAGTTCCTGGAACTGGGGGCCCAGTTCCTAACATGACAGGCCCTAGGACTTGTAGGGAAAATATGCAAGTGAACCAAACAAAGACGTCCGTTATACGGTGAAAACCCACCATGGGCAAAAAAAAATGTCCCTACGGTTTGCCAAAATAAAAACTAGATGCATATATGACGTGCATGTAGGCTTTGAGTGTATGCATGCTTTTCTCCCAAGTCGTTGGTGAAAAAGTCGTCTTCGGAATTCGTCTTCGGGGAATTCGTCTTCGCAATTCGTCTTCGGGGGGGAATTCGTCTTCGGGGGGCAATTCGTCTTCGGGGAATTCGTCTTCGGAATCGTCTTTTCGGGGGGAATTCGTCTTCGGGGGGCAATTCGTCTTCGGGGAATTCGTCTTCGGAATTCGTCTTCGGGGGGGAATTCGTCTTCGGGGGGCAATTCGTCTTTGGGGAATTCGTCTTCGCAATTCGTCTTCGGGGGGCAATTCGTCTTCGAGGGGCAATCGTCTTCGGGGAATTCGTTTTTCGCAATTCGGCAGCTTTCGGGGGGGAATGGGGAAGTGGGGAGGGGGAATGGAATTCGTCTTCGGGGGGCAATTCGTCTTCGGGGAATTTGTCTTCGGAATTCGTCTTCGGGGGGGAATTCGTCTTCGGGGGGGCAATTTCGTCTTGGGGAATCGTCTTCGGAATTCGTCTGCGGGGGGGAAATTCGTCTTCGGGGGGCATTCGTCCTTCGGGGAATCGTCTTCGCAATTCTCTTCGAGGGGGGGGAGGTCGTATTCGGGGGGGCCAATTCGTCTGCGGGGAATCGCCTTCGCAATTCGTCGCGGGGGGGGAGGGGGGATATTCGTCTTCGAGGGGCAATTCGTCTTCGGGGAATTCGTCTTCGCAATTCGGCTTTCGGGGGGGAATTCGTCTTCGGGGGGCAATTCGTCTTCGGGGAATTCGTCTTCGCAATTTGGCTTTCGGGGGGGATTCGTCTTCGGGGGGCAATTCGTCTTCGGGGAATTCGTCTTCGCAATTCGTCTTCGGGGGGGAATTCGTCTTCGGGGGGCAATTCGTCTTCGGGGAATTCGTCTTCGTAATTCGTCTTCGTCTGCGGGTGGAAATGTCTTATCCGCACAGCGGGCTCAATGTTATATTGTATATTATACGTTTCAATAGTTTGAATATGTTTGAATTATTTAGTAGTGATAAATCATTGTTTTGATTGCGGATGAATGTCGTCTTTCGGTTCCGGCTGCTCGCGCACCAGGAGGTACTGCTTCATCAGTTGTGATGTACTTGAAGCCTCAGTTGTAGTGCAAATTCGCTAACGAAACTAACAGTAAGAACAAATTGGGTCACCAAGCATGATCGTTAATGTATGGTCCAAGTTTTCCAACATGCGTTTGCATGTTGGCACAGAAATCACGCGTGGTGGCATACAATGATACCAATATTGTAGTACTTCTTTATACTTATTTTTTTTTACTTGTTTTTTAAAATGGCGGTCCCTGATTTCTACAATCAATATTGTACATACTGTCGATGTTCTCAACATTAGCGAGGCACTGTCCTAACGCCTGATCTCTAGTTCCCCACCTGCCAGGTGAGGGTTGTTAGATTTTATGTCAGTTGCCTCCTCCTCCTCCTCCTGCTCCTCCTCCTCCTGCTCCTCCTCCTCCTCTCCTCCTCCTCCTCGCCTCCTCGTCCTCCTCGTCCTCCTCGTCGTCCTCGTCGTCCTTGCTCAACTGCGACCCGCGATCCACAGTGTTCTCTGCCGGACCTCAACCACGACCATCCACGCCCAGCGTTCCCTGCCGGACCTCAACCACGACCATCCACGCCCAGTGTTCCCTGCCGGACCTCAACCACGACCATCCACGCCCAGTGTTCCCTGCCGGACCTCAACCACGACCATCCACGCCCAGTGTTCCCTGCCGGACCTCAACTGCGAGTATCCACGCCAAGTGTTCCCTGCCGGACCTCATGTAGGAATGTCAGATAGACTGGCAGATAGAATGCCAGATAGAATGTCAGATAGGATGCCAGATAGAATGCCAGATAGAATGCCAGAAAGAATGCCAGAAAGAATGCCAGATAGAATGCCAGATAGAATGTCAGATAGGATGCCAGATAGAATGCCAGATAGAATGCCAGAAAGAATGCCAGAAAGAATGCCACATAGAATGCCAGATAGACTGCCAGATAGAATGTCAGATAGAATGTCAGAATATATGTCAGATATAATGCCAGATAGAATGCCAACATATATGCCAGAATATATGTCAGATAGAATGCCAAAATATATGTCAGATATAATGCCAGATAGAATGCCAGAATATATGCCAGAATATATGTCAGATAGAATGCCAGAATATATGTCATATATAATGCCAGATAGAATGCCAACATATATGCCAGAATATATGTCAGATAGAATGCCAAAATATATGTCAGATATAATGCCAGATAGAATGCCAGAATATATGCCAGAATATATGTCAGATAGAATGCCAGAATATATGCCAGAATATATGTCAGATAGAATGCCAGAATATATGTCAGAATAAATGACAGGTAGAATGCCAGAATATATGTCAGATGAAATGTCAGAAAATATGTCAGATAGAATGCCAGATAGACTGCCAGATAGAACGCCAGGTGGAATGTCAGGATATATGCCAGATAGAATGCCAGAATATATGCCAGAATATATGTCAAATAGGATGTCAGAATATACTAAATATATGTCCAAATATACGTCCTGACATGTCATGGTGGGGATCACACGAAGTAGAGTAATTCTTTTTTAAAGCCTGCAACATACACAAATGCTACTTTGCCGCACCGGACGCCTGTTGATTCACAATTGCCGCTGCTTTTTGGATATCGAAAATACAGGACATGCTTCACAAAGCCGTCCACCTTTGAAAGCTTACAAACTACAACAAGGCGTCTTGCTAGTTCTTTGATGACGTGTTGCACCACAAGACTAGCAGGAAAGCAGACTGAATCTCATCTTGACGTATTGGAAATCACATGATATCACATCTCCGCCAGAACAAGCAATGTTTTGACTTGTCCGGCTTTGCTTTTATGCTCTGCCACCTGTACAAACAAAACAGACAGGTGTGGTGAAGTCTATATAGCCTCCAGCCGGAGAGGCTGCGCCTGGACGGCAATTCTCCTGGCACAGGAAGGCAGAGGTTCTGCACTATGTTCGCTTATTTTTGCAGCTTTCTTGACCGGCCGAAGAGGCTACAGTAGTGAGTCTGCTACAGATGTTTGCCTTTTCTTTGGATAGGAGTTCACCGTCAACGATGTAAAATGAAGAAAACTCCAGCACAAATCTGCCCCAATTGCCTGATAGATCACAGCTACCTTGCTATGTGTCTTAACTAAACCCACAGCACCTCAAATGATATCTTTTTTCAGCTGGCTGGATCCTCCTCTATCGCCGCCTTGAATGGCACCTGAACTCCAAAACCTATGTTGGAACGGCCTACCATAGAAGCAAATTGAACATATTCACGCAATTTCACGCATACATTCACTCCAGCACAGTTTCACTGTGAAAGAAGTTGGGATCCACCAATGGATCGAGAGTCACTTGGATGTTCTTCAGACTTGGCACGACAAAGCCGCATTCTTCCAAGCCTCCTTCCCGTGCTAAACGCAAATGGCGCAGCAATGGACATGCATTGAGCAGCGGCAAGCTCTGTAAGGTCATAGCTGAGGAAACATAGAGGGCAACCGTTCGCAAGTTTTTTCCATGCGACTTGAGAATTCCAAAAACCTCCTCAGAAAGTCCAACACATGGTACAATGGCCAAACTTTGCAGCCTACTGCAGCCAATAAGCAACTGCTTGATGTCATTTGTGACCTCTGTAAAAAGTAAATGGCCGTCTTTGGATATGGCAGATCTATGGCCAACAAACTTCAGCGACTCCAATGCTCCCAGTCGAGCCAAGTATGTGAACAGCGTCCTGGCGCTGCCCGTGCCAAATAAGGTTGGATGACAATATGGCAGCCTTAAGTGGAGGCGAAAAGCGGCCCACAAGAATGCCAAATGCTTGGGAAAAAGAATTGCATGTGGACGCTGCTAAACTCAGTTCATTGAAAACTTGAAAAGAATTGAAAAGACACATGCTAAGAGTTTTAACAGCTGAGGCACCCCAAATGTAAGACGCGCAAACTTGATAAAGAAGTCAACATATCGGCTTGCTTGTACTCAGCTAAGGCCAACTTCAAGGTGGACAACTTTGAAAAGCTTTGTGCAAAATGTGCCCGTGTCGAATCGGCCTCTGGCCATTTTGCAAGAGCCAGAAAACCGAATGAGAGCAAGTCCAGCTCTTGCAAGTTGGGCAAGCAGGTCATGATATGAGACATGCTACTGTTTGGCCACCTGTAGGAAAGACCAAGTTGGTCATCTTTGGGCATCCTCAAGATCTTGGCACCTTTCCATCTGGGAAGTGCTAGGAATTTGTGAAAAGATTGTAGCCCTCCTCGAGATTTCAGATTCGTCAGGTCGAGTTCGTATGACCAATGTCGTGCAAAATCCTCCTGTACCTGTCTGGATGCTGCCAGCAACTTCAAGTACGAAGTTGTTCGAAGATAAGCGAGGATTAGTTTCAGCAGCTCCCCTCGTGCCAGAAGCTCCCAACGCATTCCCACCGACCGCGTGGCTGACGGCGCATCAAACAAATCCAAATGCACACGCCTGCGCAGTGAACAGGCGGAACAGGTCTGTAGACTGTGGAAGTCAGGAGAGGCTAAATGAGTTTTTGATCGATCCTTCCAAACAAATCGATGACTAAAAAAATCCACGTCTCTTGCAATGAGACTGCGATTCCTTGTCATGAGGTGCCCATGTCTCAAATGCTTCTTTTCCATTATGTTCCTAGCTTGACAGGCTCCGTAGGTGAATATTGTGATTTAGGCCCTTTTGGGCTAGTACATTCAGCACGCATTACGATGTCATGGTCATGTTGCTCAGAGGCTCAGTCTCAGAAAATGTACCTCTTGTTCATATTTCCCACCTGAGCTTATTTGTGACGCAACATCTCACATCCACGAATGGTCTATCTTTGGTTTCATTTGAAATTGGTCTAAAGTCAAATGTCTCAAAATATATCAGAAATTCTCGGAATATCTCAGAATCAAGCTCATTCCAACCCTTCCCACCATGACCACCAACACTCAACTTTAAGCGTTAAGCAAGCTATTGCCTTCATCTTCGATTTGGTGAACCGACTAAATTACAGGATGCTCATATTGAATAATTTATATATTGAACTTTTCCAGCAAATAGACACAAACCTTACCCAGCGGAGGCATGGGCACCTCTTCTTCTCAGAGGGAACTGCCAAAGGACTGCCAAACAACGCCAGCTGCTCCTTCAGCAACTTGTTTTCTTCCTCCACGGCCCACAACTGATCTTGCAAGGCCTGGATTCTGGCATCCTTCAGTTCCTTAGTGGGTTAGTGCGAGATAGTGCTAGTAGGGCTGCAACTTTTGGATCAGCTATGATCAGCTTTAAAGAGACATTCTGTTGCCTACCTTTTCAATAAAATATCGCACAATCCAAAAGCATCCAAAAGAAAAGGCCATGAAGGGATCAGAGCTCTCTGACGGCAGCTTAGGTTCCAAGAGTTTTTGTGCCAAGGACAGATTTTTGGCATCGATGTCTGCTGGCTTGGACTCTTCCTTCAGCCACTGCCGTAGCTTGTCCATGGCGCTCATGGTACCAAAGTATCCGAAAGTGTCAAGCTGGTGGAATATCCACCCAGCGTGGAAGCTTCAAGTTTGTCGCTTCAAGTTTGTCGAAAAATGGCTGTGCATGGCTGTGTGTATTCATAGATTTGAAGATTCAACTAGTCATACATTACCACTTTTGAGGCCTGCAGTGCGGGTACGCCATGGCAGTGTTCAGATTTTGGAGGGACATGACATGCTTCTCGTTTGCTTTTGCCTCGGTGTCTCAGGGCTGCTAGGGAAGGCATAAAAGCGAGCAGGAATGGACGGAGTCCCCAAACAAGCATGCATGGGAAACTGCCGTTCGATTGTCGTATTCTTGGCAGCTGATATTGTGTGGTCATTCTTGTGATCTTTGTCCAAAATGCAGCAATTCAGCTCCTGAGTACTTTTTGAGAGAATGAATGCCCCATGCCTCGCCGATCCGTGCAATTTTTCCCGAGAGCGTCTGAGCGCAGGGTTCTTCCAATAGTGGGGGTCTGCATCTCATCTTCTCATCTTCACATCTTCTCATCTTCACATCTTCTGACTTCACATCTTCTCATCTTCAAATCTTCTCATCTTCACATCTTCTTCACATCTTCTCATCTTCACATCCTCCCATCTTCTCATCTTCACATCTTCTTCACATCTTCTCATCTTCACATCTTCTTCACATCTTCTCATCTTCACAGCGTCTCTCTTCACACCTTCTCATCTTCACATCTTCTCATCTTCACATCTTCTTCACATCTTCTCATCTTCACATCTTCTCATCTTCACATCTTCTTCTCATCTTCACATCGTCTCTCTTCACACCTTCTCATCTTCACATCTTCTCATCTTCACATCTTCTCATCTTCACATCTTCTCATCTTCACATCTTCTCATCTTCACATCTTCTCATCTTCAAATCTTCTCATCTTCACATCTTCTCATGTTCAAATCTTCACATCTTCTCACTTCACATCTTCTCATCTTCACATTTTCTCATCTTCACATCTTCTCATCTTCACACCTTCTCATCTTCACAGCTGCTCATCTTCACATCTCATCTTCTCCTCTTGCCCTCTTGCCCTCTTGCCCTCTCGCCCTCTTGCCTTCTCCTTCTTTTCTATCTCTCTTCTGAAGGCGGGGGCAGGGGCAGTGCCAACGAGACGGCACGAAACGCAACCCTTTCGCACGAAACGAGGTTCGATCGTCAAAAACTGAAGTAAAAGTGCGGGTCCAAGTCGTCCCGCGCAACCCTTTCGCACGAAATGAAGTGCGATTTCAACTTGTCCGGCGCAACCCTTTCGCACGAAACGAGGTTCGATCGTCAAAAACTGAGGTAAAAGTGCGAGTCCAAGTCGTCCCGCGCAACCCTTTCGCACGAAACGAGGTTCGATCGTCAAAAACTGGAGTAAAAGTGCGATTTCAAGGTGTCCGCCGCAACCCTTTCGCACGAAACGAGGTTCGATCGTCAAAAACTGAGGTAAAAGTGCGAGTCCAAGTCGTCCCGCGCAACCCTTTCGCACGAAACAAGGTTCGATCGTCAAAAACTGGAGTAAAAGTGCGATTTCAAGGTGTCCGCCGCAACCCTTTCGCACGAAACGAGGTTCGATCGTCAAAAACTGAGGTAAAAGTGCGAGTCCAAGTCGTCCCGCGCAACCCTTTCGCACGAAACGAGGTTCGATCGTCAAAAACTGGAGTAAAAGTGCGATTTCAAGGTGTCCGCCGCAACCCTTTCGCACGAAACGAGGTTCGATCGTCAAAAACTGAGGTAAAAATTCTTTTTTTTTCTGCGTGTACAAAGCTTCTGTGTGCTGTGTGTCAAAGCTTCTGTGTGTAAAAGCATCTGTGTAAAAGCGTCTGTGTAAAAGCGTCTGCTTAAAAGCTTCTGTGTGCTCTGTGTAAAAGTGTCTGTGTGTAAAAGCGTCTGTGTGTAAAAGTTTCTGTGTGTAAAGGTATCTGTGTGTAAAAGCTTCTGTGTGTAAAAGCGTTTGTGTAAAAAGCGTCTGTGTAAAAGCTTCTGTGTGTACAATCTTCTGTGTGTAAAAGCCTCTGTGTGTAAAAGCTTCTGTGTGTAAAATATTCTGTGTGTAAAAGCCTCTGTGTGTAAAAGCGTCTGTGTGTAAAGCCGTCTGTGTGTAAAAGTTTCTGTTGTGTAAAAGTGTCTTTGTGTCAAAGCGTTTGTGTGTAAAAGTGTCTGTGTGTAAAAGCGTCTATGTGTAAAAGCTTCTGTGTGTAAAAGCTTTTGTGTGTAAAAGCGTCTGCGTGTAAACGCTTCTGTGTGTAAAAGCTCCTGTGTGTAAAAGGTCTTTGTTAAAAGTGTCTGTGTGTAAAAGCGTCTGTGTGTAAAAGTGTCTGTGTGTAAAAGCGTCTGTGTAAAAGCGTCGGTGTGTAAAAGCTTCTGTCTGTAAAAGCTTCTGTGGGTAAAAGCTTTGTGTGTAAAAGCGTCTGTGTAAAAAAGCAACTGTGTGTAAAAGCGTCTGTGTGTAAAACTGTCTGTTTGTAAAAGCGCCTGTGTGTAAAAGCTTCTGTGTGTAAAAGCTTTTGTGCGTAAAAGCGTCTGCGTGTAAACGCTTCTGTGTGTAAAAGCTCCTGTGTGTAAAAGTGCCTTGTGTGTAAAAGCGCCTGCCTGTAAAAGCGTCTCTGTGTAAGGGGTTCTCTGTGTAAAAGCTTGCTCTGTGTAAAAGCTTCCGTGTGTAAAAGTGTTTGCGATGCAAACTATTGTCTTGTACTTATTATGCTATATTGTCTTGATACTCCTCTTCTCGGCTGCCTATAACACATCTTTAATATATTGTTTTGTAATATGGTGTCTCCATACTAACAAGAGAAGACCCTGCTCCTCTACGCTCTCGGGCCATCCGTCGTCTAGTTTTAAGCCCCAACTGCGGAATCACGGGTCATCGACAGAAGGTTTGTGGCTCCCACAATTCGACTGCAGTTCCTACATGCAATGTCAGTCCTCTTGAATCTCCGCACCGCCATCACGCCATGTTCATGGTTCAAGATACCTGCTGTTGTCTAAAGCCACCCAGTTCGATCATCAGTGAAGGGATCCATGCTTGCCATTCTCTTTGGTAGTGTGACCATTTTCTTAGCTGCAAACATGCCCTGCCAAGTCTCATCAAGTCTCATCACGTGGCCGAAACGGCAGCTGCCAGTGAATAGAGCTCTTGTCTGGAGTCTTGAAGAATTTATTTCCACTAGGACCTTCACTTGATCTGAAAGGTTCAGACTCTATCCTACCTGCGTCGATTTCTGAAGAATAAACGGTTGTGGAAATTTCAGAAATCTTGTGAATGACCCTCTCGACTGTGCGACATGGTATACAAATCTATACAGTTCATGCAATGTACAAGCTATACGCTATGTATGAATACAAGGGTCAAGCAGAGAGGTTGTTGGAAATATCTTTGAGAGATAATCTTTAATGTAGTAGATTCAGAATTCATAGCTGCGAAGAGACTGGCGAACATTTATATAGCTTGTTTAAGCATGTTAAAGCTTGTGCTGCCAACCAACAGCTGCGACCCAGGGAAGACATGAAGCTGAACTGCAGTCCTGTGCCGGTGGTAAGAACTCTAAAAGTGTCAAGGCATGTCTGAAGCGCTCCAGGCGTTCATGTGCCCCTTCATCTGCAGCTGTGCCGTTCAAAGCATCTGCTTTGGCAGCAAGCCTCAGCCGGAAAATGTCCTGCCTCACCCTGGTCCAAATCCACAAGAACATCTGACGTGTTCCATAATTTCACATAATTTCCGTCAGTTTCCATCCTTTTCTGCTATTCCTTTCACAACGTGCATCCTACAGTAGCTCGAAGCTCCAAGGCGTTCCCTACACCCAAAAGTCAACCCTTCACCAGACTACTGAACATCAGCTTCTGAATGGGCGTCGCTTCATGTTCAGGAAACCGTAAAATCTTGTGGGTCACCATCCCCAAAATCTATAAAACAGGAACAACAAATCCAGCATTGAGAAGCATGTTTTGTTTCTTCGCGCTTTCGGGCCACATGGCAATGTTTCTACCATGGGCCATCATTCATCGCCTGAAATGAGGTTATGTTCAAAGATGAACAAAAAATCCATGGGATCAACGGCATATTGCGATCCCATCAGCTCTCCTTGGCTTTGGAAATGTGTTGCACTTGGTCAAATGCAGGTCCAGGTGGCTCGTGCTGTCGGTTGAACGTAGCTGTTGCATGCTTTTGCTCTGAATAAATCTACTGGTTTGACTGGTCCCATCACATCTGACAGGTCAAATGGCATTGATCAAACGTATTTGGAGCAACACTTCTTCACATGTCGGAGTTGACAACATTCAACACGTTATTTTCTCCATGTTCACACAGCCGCCTAGCAGGAAGTGTCATGGCTGCAGCCCAAAACTGACAGAAGTGTCATTGTCGAATCGATAACGGAAGTGTCTGGAACTCTTGAGAGCAAGATGTCTTCTACCGACGAAAGACTTGCTATTTTGATGTACCCACAGACAACTCACCAGCTGATGAAGGGAGACGAAACAAATGAGGAACCAGAAATGGTCCAGGTACCTGCTTCACCGAAACGGAGCGGTGATCAGCAAGTGGAACTGCCTGATACTTCCAGGGCTGTTGAAGTACGTTGCTCTAGAGGCCCAGGGCTGTTGATCGTTGGCTTGAGGCTACACCACTACACCATGGGCACTGGTGATCCGCTGGTGTACAAAACAGGGACAGCCATGGAAGCCACAAAACGAACAAGCCGAAGTTGTGGCTCCGAGTGGAAGGTCATCGCCGCATCGGATCCGCTTCAAATGCTTCTGTCCCTCGGGCTTGGGATTTTCTTCACCAACTGTGCTGAAAATGGACACCAGCTGGTGTGTGGAAATGGGGTACCAATACCCTTTTTAATGAACGGATTAGTCAATTGAATGGATTAGGAAATCGTGTAGTTCCCTACGTAGTTCCTATGAATTCAGTTTGGAACAGTTTGGGGTGTCCCACTATGACATTGGACAAGCGCCCGGCCAGCTAGCCATCATGGAGTCTCCACCGGAATCCATCGGCATTGATCAATCAAATCGAAGCAACATTCCTTGGAAACTAAGCGACTCCTAAGGCGACTGACTCATAAGGCGACTGACTCATAGCATTCCGTTGTTCAGTCTTGAATATAGCACCTGCGCGAAAAGGACTTGACTCTCCAGAATGCAGCAGCCATGTTCTACTGGGCTTTAAGCAGGAAGCTTCTTTGCAATACTTTGGTCAACCAAGCAATGGAAGTTTTCTCAAACAGTTACTCTTACCGCGACAGTTTGGGTGGCAAACCCACATTTGTCACATTCACCTTTTCCTCCGTCTCTGATGACGGCGCTGCCCAAAAACAAAGGAACATTGCCCCACAAACCTTTCCACTCTCAGGAACACCTGCGAACCATTTTGCCTCCATGGACACCAACGCAACACCACTTTGTCACTCAAAAAGACAAATGACCGAACCAAACAATAACTTGGAAAGTGCAAAATTGTGTGATCAGTGTGGTGGCAGGCTAAAAAAAGGGCCGGGCAGCATATGAGTCAGGACAGCAATGTCATGTAGAAAGGGGCTCGGCCAAGGATTTATTTGTTCATCATTTTTCTGATTCACCATGACATTTCAGGCGCTGTGTCAACTTGATTGACTTGGCTCGAAAGAATCTGGGTGGCACCATTGGATCTAGGCTCCCAGCTGGGAAAAATAACTGGACCTGACCCGGAAATCCGCCTTAGCTTGGTCCACTTGTGGGCCACCTCTTCCAATAGGATCTTAAATTCAGTGCCTCAGCTGCAGCAAACTCTTGTGGCGCCCGCATCTTCCGCTGGTCGCTGCAGCATCCACGATCATGCCATGGTGTCCATCAGCTGCCGCGGCCATTCAGGTGCCCTGGATCGGCAAGCGGCGGGTCGTCATCATCGTCATTTTAAGGATTCTTAAGGCCATCCCATCCCATAGGGTTGGAGAATTTTGATTCATTCTCATTCCCACATGAAACGCTTGAGAAAAACAGTAGGAGGTTGTTGATTTCTCATCCTCATCGCAGGAAGTTGTCGAAACCACCTTTGGAATTTCCAATGGCTTTTCAATCTGTTCCAAACTATTGCACTTTTCGTCCAGGTCCACTTGTTATGATCCTTTGCAAGGCTGGTCCACTCCAAAAAAACGGTTCTGCATGCAGCTCCAAAAACCCCCCGGGCTGCTTCCTCCGGAATGATTGGATCCAGGATTGGAGTCACGTAGCAATGCGGTCAGAGGCTTGGGTTCAGTTTTTTGGTCAATTTTTTTTGGGGGTTCAATGGTTATATAATGGGTTTCAATCCTTTTCGCTCCTCTCTTAGCCAAAAGTCCAATCTTGTTCCTCAGACGTTTGGATGGACTCAAGGCGGTTGGAGTGTCCTTCAGCGATGAGGAAGACACATCAAAACCCTTCCGAACACTTTGCCAAAGGGGCACGCGCCAAGGTATAGTAACAGCATGTAACGGCTATGGGATCAAAGATACCTTCATATCTTTCTGTGATCTGAACATAGAGGAGAAGTCATAAACTATGAAAGGAATGTGTTTGACCCACCATGGTTGGCAGGCTAAGCATGATCCAACAAAGTTTCGGGCCGATCACACGCTGCCAGAAATGGTGTCAGGCAGCGCTTCAATGTGTGTTTCCCATTCCAGAGACTCGCTAGCCTTTTTATGAACTCACTTTTGGTAGCTTATCCTTTTAAAGTCATTTACACATATTTACACAACCATTTTTTGTGCGGGTGACCATTGTGGGCTATATATAATTTGATATGATTTGCCTGGAATTTTAATGCCACCTGAATGGCCGGCTCAGGCCTCAATCGCAAGCCGCAAGCCACGCAGGCTCAGTTTTTGTTCGACATCTGAAACGAGTCGCGGAAAGACCGTGGTTTGGAGAAAGTTATAACTGACGTGCGATGAGCAACAACCTTCGCCCATAACACATCTTCAACCACTGTGTCTGCAAGACTTTTTCAAGCTGAAACTGAAATCCCGGAAATCAAAAAATGCCAGGCTTCTCAGGCCCCTCATGCTCAGTGGTTTCAATACTCAGCCAAGCTCTGGTCCAACATGCTGTTGAAATCTCGTGGAATCTCCCGGTTGATTCAACCCAAGGAACTGAATCAGCTGTGAGTGAGCTGGTGATCTTCAAAGGAAGCCTCTGGCACAAAAGTTGGAGCATGATCAGCTTCAGTTATGGAACTTTGTCTTTGCTCTAAAACAAGGTGTTCCTTTCGGTGACAAGCGGCATCATCATATTTCAGGCTTGGTTTTTGCGCCAGTTCCCAGATATATTCCATGTCTATTCCATGTCATTCTTTTAACAAAGCCATGTGTGAGTCCCCCCAAATCATCCTTAAGTTCACATCGTTTTGGCTGAAAGGTGCTGCCATGGTGATCATGGCAGCGGTGAATCCAATGCTTCAGCGCCAAAGGAAACAACTTTCCCAGTTCTCAGCTTACCTGACATCTTGATCATACCGCTGTATGAACTTGTTGTTGATGGGTCACAAATGACTATATGGGATCATCTTATGAATGGCTTGAACAAAACTGTGGTGAGCAGGTGAACACCATTTCAATTGACCATATACTAAATAATAAAGCCACGCTCTTGGATACAATTGGCATGATTGGATACCTCGTCCTGTGATTCACAATATGCGCTTGCCGGGCGCCGGAGCATTTCCGCCATTGCAGGACCGGCAGCACGGGTGGTCCGTTGTTACTGCGCTCGTCCGGGCCATGTGAGCAGCGGTACAAGATCTATAGACATGTATAGACCTTCATTGCCACCAGGCAGTGATCCGAAGCCAAGAGTTGGAGTTCATTCGGATGAGTCGACGGGACGACGATCCACCCAGCTTGGTTTCCACGATGTACCGACTCTTCCAGGAGGAGTTGATTCATCGCAGTCCCAAAGATGGCGAGTTGCCCATCTTCATGGTGAGCTCAGGGGCCTGCTGTGGACGCCCAGTGGCGCAGTGTTCCACACCACACAACTGGCGCAAGATCTGCCGGTGAAAGGAGCTGTCAGGCTGTCAGCAGATATTCAGCGGCAGTTCATCCATGTGGTCCCAAATAGCAGCATAGCAAGCAAAACTAAACCGTTCTTAGAAGGACCAACGAAGTGAAGTGAACGCGTTGCGAAGCTGAGAAAACAAAGTGTTCAGCTCGCCAAAGTTTCTCAGCTGAAAGAAACCAATTGGACATTCCACGGCGTTTCTCAGCTGTCCTACCCCCTTTCGGAGAAAACGATGCGTGGACGGAATTCATCGGAATTCCACAGGTGACCCTGAGTTTGGTAAACCAGCTCCCATCACTTCTTGATACTTCTTGCAGGTTTATGCTTGTCTAGATCGATCAGTATCTTTTTGCGTTCTTCTCGTTTGGGTATGGACGTTATGGTTCAAAAGATTCATACCAAAGGCCACAAATCATTTGACGATGCGTCACATCATGTCACAAACTTCAATACACAGTTCCTCAACACGGCTACGCTGCTCATGAGTCACCCCAATGTTGTTGGGATTTTGACCCATCGAATACCTATCCGCAATTCTTTGCCTCTGCCTTTCACATCATCTTTGCTGAACTTTGGCACGTGGCATTCTTGTATTCTTGCCATCCACGTCGATGAAAGGTTCCAGGAAAATTGGGACCCCAACAGGTGACTGATGAAACCACGGCATGTTGAAGCTTGGCTGTCAATTAAAAGCAACGGGCTCAGCGCCAGCTCTGAAACTTCAAAACAAGAGACGTTATATGGGTTGTATATGGGTTGTATATGGGTTGTATATGGGTTGTATATGGGTTGTATATGGGTTGTATATGGGTTGTATATGGGTTGTATATGGGTTGTATATGGATACATAGTCCTAAACAACAACAAGAATCAACATATTCTTCCAAATCCTGTGAACTTGACCCCGAAAATGGTGTCAAACCGCTCCACAAATCTCGGACGTTCTTGCTGGCACTGTAGACGTTATGCGCTGTACAAAATCTGCGTGCAGTTGTTGGAAACTGGGCAATGATGAACCATTCAGCCGTCGACACGCGCAGATGATAGGACGGAATCATGGATGCCTTGGATCTTGTTTTCAAATATAATAAGATCACATCACACGACAATGTGACTCACGGCCAGTGATGTGGGCCGGCTCCCCAGTGACGTACCTCAGCTTACGTAGGTTTGGCCGATGTCATCTGTGGGTAATAGTAAGATGAGTAAGGCACTGTGAGCACAGAAAAAGTGCAGCATACTTCATGATGCACGCTTTGCAAAGTGTGGCTGGATCGCCCTTCTAGGCCCTATGCCTCAGGTAGCCTCCGAAAAATCTGCGTTTCTACATGATTAATTGATTAATATTGGCTGGTGACACGGACAGTATATAGACTTGATATTCTGAAGCCTGCCTGATGAAATAGGACATCATGTTACTTATGTGTCTAAGGTTATGTTGGTCGACAACTCCCATGTCATGTTCCCGGAGCATACATCGCGTGTTCATTGCTCGCGGTGGTTCAACTTATGTGGCTATCAGCTCAACAGTAAAATCCGGGCAGGCTCAAAACAACATGTGCTTGTGACTAATTAGCTGGCAGTTGAACTGTCGAAACTGATCTCCAGCTCCTTTCCAGCAACGCAGCAGCAGGCCTTTCGAGGCGCAACAGCGACCGGCTTCACTGGTGACCGTTGCAAGAACTTCTTGCACCAACCGGTGTCTGAAATTTCATGCCAGCGGCAAGAATTGATCCGTTAACTCTCTGCCATGTTTAAAGCACTCACCTCATCTGCATGCTTTGTCGGTCGGATGGTTCAACTGCGATGCTGGCGATGCTCCACCTGATCCCGAGAAACACCAGATCTGGCTAAGTCGAAGACGATCGAAGACCTAGCCAAGTGGATAAGCCAGGAATGTATCAAAAGACCGGTGCATGTTGAAGATCGTGCTTTCTGCGCAGCTCGTACACGGCAAGAAATGACAAATAACACCCATCGCAGGCAAATCCATCGCGGCTCGAATGTTCAAAGCCGAAAGGGGAACAAACTCCTCTTGCCAACGCAAATTCTTAAACCATTTTCTGTGTTAAGGGCGTTTAAAGGTCCTGAGGAACCCCAGTTTTTCTGCAACTTCAAACGCCCCTGTCAATTGTGAATGTTTTGGTCTTTATTCAGAAAAGCGAGGAGTTCAGAACAGTCGAAGCACGTATCCCCAAAGTTCAAAAGAGAAGTTTGTTGGATACATCCACTTTGGCGGGTTTCGCACTCGAACATGTTTGAACATCAAAATGTGCTAGATTGAAATGCTACAAGCTTTTCATTCCATGCAAAGCGCTTGTTTCGAGGGTCCTTCAACACAACATCTACTTCAAAGTGGTTGTTCGGTTTCAGGGCTGATTCCGACGGCAAAGGAAAAAACGAAGGAAACAATGGGAAAATGATGAAATCTCCGGCCATTGGATAAGTCATGGGATACGAAAAGACTTGGAGCTTCAGGACGGGACCTGGTGAACAGCTGGTTGTCATAGCAATCTCGGAAACTCAAGGTTCATCAGTTCATCAGCATATTTGGGAAAGTCACATCGCTTGCCACACCTTTGCACAAAAATGGTATATGGCAAATTTGGATAAATTTGAGGCGTATCGCTTGATGGCAAACGATGTATGTGCACAGGAATGACACAACCTTCAGAGGGAGCACCGCTCTTTGGGAAGGTCCCATCGCTTACCTCTTGTTTATACAGTTTATGAAAAGCGATGTCCGTATACCTGCCTCTTCCAAAGTGGGCTTAATTTCTGCCTTTTGCCCAATAAATAGGTTTTTCACAAGAACGACCTTTTTGGGCAAACCAGAGTTTCTTCTGATATATTGCTGCCAAGCCCGTTTTTCAGCGGCGAAAATGCCCGACCAAACGGCGAAAATACCCGACCACGTGGGCTGACAATTTCTCACAACGGCATTTATTTTCAGGAAAGGCGTTTGGAAGATCCAGGTATGGGGGTTGTCCAAAATTATGGTACCCAAAAACTGCCCTTACGCTGCGCTTTCGCGAACCTTTCGCGCCCTTTCGCGCCCCAGCAGAATCGGGACATCGGATTATGATCGGGTTTTCGTTTATTTATAGGTTTATAAATAGCGGTATTCAGACCTTTCGCGAACCTTACGCCGCGTTTTCGCCCACTGCAGCAAAACATACACATCCATATCTGCAGATGGCACTCGGATACTAAAGGCCTTCCAGGATGTACAAACGGGTCTCAATTAGGCACCCCTTAAGGTATTCGTAACCCTGTGTGAGTTCACCGGGTCAGGTTGGGGCCTGTGATTTTCTACTAGAAAATGAATGTTGTATAAATTAGGGACCCAAGAAAATCTAGCTACAGACATCAAACCAATTTGAGGTACCCCAGAAAAATGGCAACCCCCAAGAAGTGCATTTTCGAAGCTATGGATAGTATTTTTTCTTAGAAAAACATCACCCTGCTTGAATTACATAATGTTGAAATTACGAAATCAAAATTTTTGAAAACAACTTCCGGGGAATGGTTCCATTTTTCTAGAGGAACCTGCATTGGGCATATCTTTGCAGGCACTTAGGCTGTCCAAAAAAATGGTTTTGGCGGACCCCCGGGGGTCCTGATAATGGAGTGGATGTGCATGTGTCTTCGATTTCCCCACGTTTGCTTCCAGAAATGCGTGTCATTTCGTGTCATTGCCGTGTCGTGTCGGTCATAAGGGGTCACGAGTTTTTTTTGAGAAATCAAGAAAAACATGCGAGTCATTGCGTGTCACTGCCGTGTCGTGTCGGTCGGTAGGGGGTGTCCAATAAGCACCCCTTAGGCAAACGGGTGTCTAATAAGCACCCCTTAGAAACGTGTCGGGTGCTTTTTGAACAACCCCTGCGCGTGTCATTTCGTGTTGATTTTGACTAGTTTTCTTGAAATTTGGGAACATTTTACATCCGACACGAAAAGAAACGCATGCATTTCTTCTCGCCAAAAATGAAGTCGGGTGCACCACAGATGCCACGCGGGTGGGATTGGAAGATTTGGGGTTGGAACTCATCATTTTCTGGTGTGCCATCTCCATGAACGCTAAGGGGTGTCCATTAGGCACCCCTTAAGAATCCCAATTCTTGAAATTCATTAGGCACCCCTTTGAACGTGCTGGTTGCATGGGTTTTAGGACGACTCCCATATGTCCGTCCCTTACATGTTTCCAATCGCCGGATTTTTTGGAGTTGCTCTTATCTTGGCAACGCCAAAGCTGGTTGCCTGCACACAAGGACGTCCTTCACCAACGCTCAGACAGCACTTCCAGCGCTTCCAACGAGCCACGTGTCACTCTGAATGCGACACCTAGGACACTTGTTGGGTCTACCAGCTCTACCAATATTCTAATCTTAGGAAACGCATTCTTACGGGAAAAACTCATGTCAGAACAGCGATCGTTCTGAGGGGTCATGTTTGAATGAATCCACCGATATTTTTTTGGCACAAGATGGAGAAGCTGCCGCATCATGGGGGAGTAGGGAAACTGCAGCATAGAGTTGTTTGTCAATAGTAGTTGCTTCTAGCACGCACTTGCTTAGGCCAATTTCATCGGGGTGTTGTTTCAACACACTGATCAATCTTTGCGTTACTTTGCATTGCAAAAAGGGTGTCTTCCAAAAAAACAGTTCCACCAGCAGGGTTTCTTGTCTGAGGTCATCATCAATAGGTATTCCAATCGGCCCATCGTTCTCACGAAGTGTTTGTGTTCTCAGTAGGCCAATTGTTTTAATGAGAGGAATCGTTTCTGGTGGACGATAGCCTAATTTTTTCCCCGGACGTTTTTGATCAAAAAAAAAGGCTCAGAAGGATCCCGGTGGGAATGGGTGTGGTTGCGTTTCAGAGGGGGAAAAAACAAATTCTCCATTCTCAGCCGGCAATCGCTCTCAGTGACCAGCATCGTTCTCAAGGAAAGAAACTTCCAGCCGGGCCAAGATTTCCGTCTCACTAGAATTCTCACAATGTG